AATCGATAGCGGCAAAGTTTCTGCCCGTCGACTTGTTTTAAATTAAATGTCAACAGCTTGTACACGACGTTCACTTCGATTCACGACTCCGCCTATTTCTACACAGCTTTCGCAGTGTATTTATTTACCACCCTTTCTGACTCCTCTATTACGCAACGGAGAAGATAATTTTAATTGCAACTCTCAAGTGTTTTTTCTTCCACTTAAATAAGGTTTCCAAGACGCTGAGCTTCCTAAAACGTACGTGCGCTGACTTTAGGAGTCCTTTCATCTTGCTGACTCTTTCACCTTGAATATGCAAGCATTATCCGGTGTTCAAGAACATCGAAACACTGGAACGTCTTGGAAGGCATCCAGCGTAAATTCTTACGATTCTTTTTCTCGGACGAGTGACTCTCCCATGAATCTCCTAGACCACGACTTCAGTTCAGTTACGCGAACTTTCAGAATTTTCACCCTGGATGAAAAAACATCCATTGCTGAAATAATGTTTATCTACAGTTTCCTCTGAAGTATATAGGATGTCCCAGAAAAAGTGTTGGAGTCGAAGAGAGGTGATTCTGTAAGCGTTTTTGAAAATCAAGTTCTTTTGCCAAAGTGCAAAGTGAGGTATGGTTTTTAAATTATTAACGAAAAACAGTTACCAATAAGAGCGCGTATGGGGCCGGTGCTAAGCCCCTGCCGAGCGTCGCGATCCGAGCTAACTTACCCATGGTTAGGCGCGGGCCCTACTCGTGTTCTCATTAGTCAGTGTTTTTTATTAATAATTCAAAAACCATATCAGAATCATCTCACATTTTCGGCTCTAACTCTTTTTCTGGGCCACCCTGTATAATTGCCTCGAGCTGCTGGAATAAGTTCCTCTCCATCGTCTCGTTGCCTTAGACCGAGCATTGTACTCTTGGCTTGGCTAGATTTACTACCAGGTTTAATCATGTCGGTGACTAGACCTGCCACGATTGCCAACCAATACCGGACGTTGTTCGACGTCTTTAACGATTCCATAGATGCAATCCTCCATCTTCCTCTCCCATCAACATGAAATCACTATTAATTTCGGTCTTCCGGGTCTTCTATTTTTTACTGTTAGCACTGTCATCTACTCCGCGTTTTCTTTTTACCATCACTTACTATTAACTTAGTTTTTATCTGTCTCTGTCAGTTCATATATGTATAACTTAACTACCTCGTACGTACAACATACCGCTTTCTATTTAATCCTGGCATAAAGAAACATCTGCCCGTATATAAATAAGTAAATTTTCTTGTCTCCTCGATTTCGTTTTTCAAGAAGAGTCAATTCCACCTGAACTAAATGGACGATTCATACAAACATATCTGACAGAATTATTAATACCAAGTCCTAGGAACTTTTTCATTAGCATACGTTGAAACGCCTCGCCTCAGCTGCGAAGACAAGTGACTATCCTTTTTCTCTACCCGATTGCGAAGCACTACGTACACACGTAGGCATGTATGTACAATACGTATCCAAGGTTCGAGTCGCGGACACGCGCGAAGGCAGGTTTGTCTTCGTCAAGACGGGCGAAAGGAGCCGGGGGAAAGTGGCGGGGCTTTTTAGAAAGCGCATTCTTCTGTCCATCCCCCCTAGCAGAAACGATCCACTCCACGGCGCGAAAGGGAATGATGGTGCGCTGCCACTTGAAAAATGAATATCTTTCAGCCGACGCGAAACGGGGAGAGCGGAACGAGAATTCCTGCCCGTCGACTGGCTCCGTTCGCCCCCTTCTAATAAAACGTCATACGAGAAATTATTTACTACCCGTCTCGCGGCGGAGCCCGGATCGTTCGAACTTCGAATTTACTCTGTCTGTGTCTGTACGACGTTTTAATTATATCGCCGCCGCGTTGCAGTCTGTTCGTTCGCTCGTTCCTAGGAGCTTTTTACCGGTTAAAGCAGCCGGCCGGAAGAAAACGAGGGAATAGTTTCTTGCGCGAAACAGCGCACCACAATTCTCGGTACCTGTCAGTTGTAATCCGAGTCAAGATACGTTTGCCCTTTATTACGTTCGTGTACGTGCCTCTCAGAAGAGCCGGGAAGATCCTCAACTATTTCAGGACGGGAGAGAGGTAGGTATCTTCTTAAGGATACCTTTCACGGTGTTTCCTCTGCCCGCTTGTATCCTTTAATGATACTTGTACCAACCGTGGAATGGTATCGGGCGAGGGGGAAGGGCAGCGGTGGCGGGGCTGTTCGAATCAGCCGCGCTGTCTACGCTCGCGAGATCTCAAGTTTCCAGAATGAGCAAGGGAACACGTAAGTAGATAGTTAATCCAGACGGATCAGCCCCGGCTGCGAATGCCACGATGGAACTCGTCTCGCTAATTAATATCTATTTTGATAATCCCCATTTTCTCGCCTCGCGCTCGACGCGGAATGCATCCCATCCTGGCAATTGTACATCACGTTATTTATATCCTGTGATTATTTGTCTCTCGTCGATGGACGCAGCGGATTCTATTTTAATAAAGTAACGAACAGCGACCCTTGCGTGGTGATCATTAATTAAATCATTGCAATCAGGAATTCCATACTTTATCAGTGTCGAGGCTCTTTTACGAATGGGAAACGCAGAAATGTTGCGACATCGCCATCATGTCGAACGAGTATTCGGCGATTTATTCGCAAAGATGAAGGATGCACGCTGACGCTAACTTCGACGAATTTATTTTCTCGCAGAATCGGTGAACCGAGAAACTTTTGAGGATTCGCTCCTGACGAACAAGCGACGCGTTCGGTACACAGGTGTTCTCAGAGAGATTTCGCGGAGTTATATTTTCGACGACGAGGGGAAGAGAGGACGGGCTATACGTCCTCGTCCGGATGGAGAATCAATTTGTTATCTCCTCGACTTTCGGATTGCGTCCAAAAACTGGCGATCGTTGAATGATCTAGTGGGATCATAGAAATGAATTGGACGCCGGCGTGCGTGACCCGAAATGATAAGAAAAAGTTCGCGATGCACGTCACGCGCGAGCTTTCAGATTCGAAAGAAATTCGTAACGTTTCTTCAGATCGATTTCCCCCTCGAAATCCCGAGCACGCATGTACATACGTACGTATCAGCCGCGCCGGTCTCTAATAACATTGAAATTCAATCCAGCGTTCCGTCCTGTAAAAGCAAACATACGTACGTACATATGTATAACTCTATAGTCGCTCGTGCCAATTTTCTTTTAATCTGCGATTCACCGACCCGAGCGAAACGGCTAAACCGAAGCAAATAACGCGATGAATACTATTCGCCAGTTTTAGGGAGGTCCTTGTAACGTTGTAATATCGCGAAACCCACGGATTTCGCGTTTCTCCGGCGATTTGATAATTTTACGAGGAAATAGTAATCACAGCAGCGTCAAACGCTGTCAGGGACGAGTCTGAAGGAAGGTGCTCTGCCAAGAATTCAAAACATGTAATAAAAAGCTGTGTCCAATATTTGAAGCAATGAACTTTTAGGAAAAATGATAATTACAGAAGAATAAAAATTATAAAATTGTTCGACTTGCTTTCCTCAGTCATAAGAAAATATTAGAAATTATACGTTAAAAATATTCTAAGACATAATTTTGGCTTTTTTTATGATTGGACTCTACGCTTCTCTGTATATAAGAATTCTGTCATTCAACATAAGAATTCAAGATGTAACTTCTTTAATAAGCTCGCAAAATTTCTAAAATTTTGTACAGTGTTTTATTAATGTAATATCTAGTAACTGTTAAGATTTCAATGCTTTATCACTGTTTTTATATAAAGGTGCATACAACCTTAAAAGGGATTTAACGTAGACATAATTAACGAGGAACGAACCATCTTATCGCGGTTGGCAGTTCAATTAGTGAAATTACGAGCTCCTCGGTAAAAAAGATACACATATGTGCACCGCGACATCAAATTGACTTAACACCGCGGCCACGTACGTGCCTTCTTTTCAGCGGCCCGTGTCAATAAGATTCCGTCGCATTACTCGCGTATCGTGGCACGGTTATTTTTCTGTCTATACTCCACGGTACGTGTACGTAAGACGGCAACGTTACGGAAATTCCTTGAATAGGGTCACCTCGCGTCTCTCGTTTTAACAGAGGAACACCGTTTGTTCCTTTGACAGTGACAGCCAGCAGTGTACGCATGGAATTCGCGATGTCGCGTTGGCGAGAAATAGAAGCAGTTCCCCGGCATTCGGTCGAAAAACGCTCTTTGAAAAAACACTCCACGAGGAGCATTTATCTCATCTTTCAAACTCGTTCAGACTGATGCCCACTGGCGGGGAAAACACGCGTTCAATAGGTAACATCTATCAAGAAATAATTCGATTTTCACGCACGCTCACGACTCCCCGCGACTGGGAGGGATTAAATAGCTGCGTCTTTTGAATCTTGCGGAAACGAGGAAAGAACATTACAATAAAAACGGGTTCTCTGGCACTATAGATACTTTCAGTTTTGTTTACGCAAAGATTCCATCTTGCTTTGAGGAAACTTCCGCGCCATGGGAAGGAACGCTATCGCCGCTCTCGGTCGCTTCCGGTTAAAATCTCGAAGAAAATCCGCGAGTATCAGAGGAGAAGGAAATCGTTAAGGTTCGACTGACATTGAAAAAAATAAAGAGAGGTAGCAAGTTGGCCCCCGTGTTTTTCAAAGTTGAACGGTGAATAGCGCGATTCACCCAAGGGTGAGAACGGGATTCAGTGAACCGGTAAAGAAATTTACTTCTTTGATTGACAGTCAAAGGGAACCACTCCGCGCTTCCGTTAACATGAATTATGAATGCGGACGAGGAGAGCCGCGGGGGCGGCGGAAGCGCGGCCCCTCGTAGAAAACATTTTTACGCGAGGTGGAGGCAGACGTAAATATTGACGTCCCGATCCGGACCTTCGTTCACCATCTACCTACCACCCCGTCGAGCAAACGTATGCGAACGTGCGCGCGCGCGATCACCCGAAACTAAAATAAACTAACGTTAATGATGCAACGTTTTCACTCACCGGCTCTCCATCCTGCACTTGCCCTCTCGCGCCTTGCAGTTGCTTTTGAAGTCCTCATAAATCTGACTGCACGGTTTGCTGTGCGAACAGACGCTCAGAGCGTGATTGCAGGTAGGCAGCGCATCGATCGGGTACGGATCGTTCTCTACAAGCAGGTTAAATACGATTTTATAATAATATTTATTTATATCAATCTGTTCGAACAGTATATTGTACTATGAAATCACGACTACACGAGCTAAAAAGTATATTTTGTTACGTATCACTAATGTGGATGAATTAATACTTCCACACAAAATTTAATTCATTTCTATATAAATTAAATTATTTTAAATTTGTATTTACTATATGATCAGAAATTGATCATAATCATTGATGTTACAAGTTCAAATCCACATATGGAAAACAAATAAAGTACGTAAAGAAATTGTTGTGTTCAGGATTCGTAAGGAAACTAGGCTCGGTTGAGTGTAACACTATATTTCCAAAATACTGCACAACGTAGAGGAATTCAGTACAAATGCGGTTAGTATCGAGTCCAGGCTGAATCTGCTGTCTTAGGATTCGGCGGATGTATATATATATCCTAGCTATAGGAAGGGGAGGGTCACTTCTAACCCTGTGACTCAGGGTGGATTTCGACCTTAGTGACTAATCTTTACAATACGCTTCTTAAAACTGGAGATAACTAGGAGAAAAACATTTTAGTCATCCAACAAAATAAAATCCGTATAAAAATTGGCTGGAAAAGGAGATTTCCCGGATACGAAGTTTAACGGAGTATACTTCATTACGAAACGTGTTTGGATTAGAGAAAGAAATCGTTCGTTAGTAATAAGTGGAAAATTCACGTATGTCGGTAGTGGGAACGCGGGGAAGTAATTAGCTGTCTCGCCGGGGCACGGCCAATGCTCGCGGGCATACTTACAAATATAATGAAAAGACGTGTCTGCGAGAGACCGAATAGGAAATAAAACAATAAGACGTCGCCGAGTCTGACGCCGAGGCGCGGCCGAGAAAAAAGAGGAGGACCAGAAAATAATAAAGGTATCCTCTTATCAAAGGAAGAAAAGAGCAACGGGGATCTGGTGTGTTAAGAGGCGCGGAGAGATTTTCCACGGGTAAAGGAAAGAGGAATCGGGAAATTTCCCGTGAATAATTTCAAAGGCCGCCCCGCCCCTGTTCCCACGCACCCGGCCCGCGAGCCCCTTGATAATAAAAACAATCACAATTAAGCGGCGAGATTAATTAATTTAGAGAGCGAGAGAATGGTAGGGGGACGGGCGGCCGGAAGAGAAAAGGTGACGAAATAAGAGCAAAAGCGTCGCGTCGTAGCCTTTATATTCTATATTTCATAAATTAAATCGAAAGAAAGGCCATCGGCAGAAATGTGCGCGTAAAATATATAAACAAAAGGTTCGATGGACCAGGGATAATGGGGGATGAAAGGGTAGACGGACGGGGAGTGGGAACCGGATGAAAAAGAGTTTCCTTCGCGGAATCGATAGGCATTCTTTTCGGTAAGAGCGAGGGAGAGAAACAGCGCGGAGGAACAACGAGAAACGACGGGAGAGGGCACGAGGTGATAAAAAGAGACCGCGAAAGCGAGAGCGGAAGAGGGGTCGGCGCTGGCGGAAAGAAGCGCATTGGGAATTATCCGTGGAATCGTTCGAAAATGCTCAAAAGACTCGACGGCCCGGACAAGTGAACCCTCGGGAAAGTGAACAATGGAGATCGTAGGCGAAGCCGCAATGGCGGCGGAGGCTTATGTAAGGAGCCGCAGTCAAAGATATCGCGATCCCCTTTTGTTTCTCCGAAGAGAGCCGCAACTGAACGACCAAACGAACCCTTCTTTTCACCCCCTAAAGGAAGCGGCCCGCCCTCCGCGGCACCCTCGATCAAATTTTCCTCTCCTTTCCGAATCCCGCTACGCTCACCTGTCTCTGGCAATCTTACAGATAATTCTCTCGCCATTAACACTGTCAGAAGTGTCACGAGCAGACTATCGACCACGCGCTCCGTCCCCATTAAGTCCGAAAACTTCGCCTTCGCTGTATATTATTTATGAAATTCTCGTAAATCGATTGATACAACAAATATTGACGAACAGCTCGGTTGATCCACTTTTGTGTCACCGTCCGACCACCGATATTATCGGTCGATCTGACAATGATATATTAGGCAAAACGCTTTTATATCGTATTGATAAATCGAACAATCGCGTCAAGGATAGAGCCGATACCGACCCTAATTTCTCACGAGAACGTATTGAGAGAACTGGGTCAGAGATCGAGGGTCGTTGTTTCACAGAAGATTAAAATTTTCATTTCGGGTGGGAACAAATGTCGCTGGGAGGAAGCAATTAAGGAGGCAAATAAATTAACCTCACCGTTTCCAGACGCCGCTTTGCTCGTAATCTTTGAGCCGAGGAATAATTACGAAATTTGGGAAAAAGTTAAGAGACGACGTAATTGTACGGGTACGGAGATCATGCCTCGGAGGACATCTGTTCGATCCCCGGGACCGAAAATAGATTTGAACATCGACGATCGCAGGAGGCGCGAGGACCGAAGGGAAAAGAATAATTCGGAGGTAATGAGCCGAGCAATTAGAAGAGTTTGGCTAGGAGCTTAATTACATTTATCCCGGTGCCGGTGTATAAGCCGGAGCACGGCCGGCTGAAAGCCGAAACCAGTCATACGGAGGAGGGCAACGCGGATAATGAAAGCTCTCCGCGCGCCGCAGCCGCGGAGCGAAAAACCAGGAAGCTTCGCCACTTAATGAGATTAAATTCACTCTCGTGCTTCGAAAAAATGAAACGAAAGAAAAGAAAGACCGAACGACGGGAATAGGCGGGAGGTGGAGGGGCGAGAAGACGGAGGCAGGAGGCCTGGTAAAGATACGCGCCTTTCCGTTTCCTATCGTTAAAACGCGCAAAGATCAGCGCGTTTTCCCTCCTCACCCCCTGAGTCAACGTCAGTCTCAGGCTCCAATGAGAAGCACCGCATTGTCGGTACATACTTACCAACTTACGGAAGCCTTTGAAACTTCCAATGAACCGCGAAAATATCGCGAACAGAGGAAATCGGTTCTACGTTCTCTCCACTGATACGAGCGCAACGTCTACGCCGTTCTAATTCGCATTTTCATTTCTGCGAGCTTTTATTTACGAAAACAAATATGTACTCTCACTAAATAAACGTGAACGTAAAATCAGGTTACAAAGACAAACCGTTTCGTTGGTAATTTTTTCTCGATTAGTAAAATAGATAAGCTTTTTCGCATTAAATGTTTTAAACAATTTAACAGCTGCGAGTAACGAATTAAAAATAACTGTTGATTTATTATTATTTAAGAATAAGCAAAAATAACGGAATGTTTCTTCTAACTCTAAACAGTGCATTTTCTTTTCAGTTAGTCTCGTCCAGAGTGTCGAGATATTAAGACATCCTGCCGAGTCATATAATAAAATAGTATTATATAAAATTGAATTGAACATTTATTGAATAAACCTCATATTCCAATAATAACAAATTGAATGACCAACGCGAATAGGAAGCCGAGAGCGGAAGCTAATTTAGTTGCAAGCGGCCAGAGTGACACGTGAAATGTGCAATAAAAAACAGTGATGTTTCCGATCCGCTGTAAAAGAATCCGTTTTGCGCGATGTGGTTAAACAGGGATTCACACGTCGACGTGTATCGAATTGAACGATATTCCAGAGCCGGCGTTCGGGTAATCTTCTTACGAGGAAGAATCCCGCGGAATACGAACGGCAAACATTCCAAGAACGAGATAAAAGACGAGCGAGTTCAATTCTTCGAGGACCTTTTATCGCTCGCGGGTTCATTGTGTTCGAGTGCGTGCTCGCGTTGGGAGTCAGTCGGTCGAGCAAGGAACGAGTGTGGAGGACGGACGGATTATTGGAAATGTCGTGCCGTTCACGACTCGTTAAAAGTTTCGACCGCTCGAGAGAGATCAAGACCGATCACTGTCGCGCCGAGAAGAATATCAACGGCGAAATCCGCCACGAAGTTCGCCTCTGGCGATTAAACGCTCACGTTCGAGGGTTAACACGTGAAACGAAATCGCAAACACTCTTTCTCGTTGGACAGATTGATCTTAATGGATTTTTTCGTCTCTCAAACATTTATATGAATACTATGCGACCGATAAATTCTTTACGCCAAGCATGGTCGAATGTGTCGACACGGCCCTGAAGTGGTGATGCCTTAAGTAGTATGAGCGTACTATGGTCCGGCGAATTATCGTGACTCATCACTACACGGTGTAGGTCGACATTTGCCAGATATTAGTATTTCACAGTAACATTATTTAGTGAATAAATTGTTACTACGAAACCAAACTCGGTTTAATGTCACACCCCATGAACATTCCAAGATATAATCGTAAGTTGGAGCTCACCTTTCTTCGAGACGTAGATGCAGGGGTGGTCGAAGAGGAAGTTCTGGAAACTGTTGCAATCCGGATCTACGTGCGGCTCTTTACAGAGGCACATGGGCCGGAAGAAAGGGAAAGCTTGTAGAGTGTGCAGCGCCGCTTGACACTTTGTCACTGTCACCGTCGAACAAGCCACTGGAACAGTTAAATTACTATTATTAAGCGGAAGAGGAAGTGGCCATTACCGCGATGACAACTACCGTCTTCTTCCCGTATAAGCGTAAGCGAATAAATTTAGAAAATGTTTCCCCGTTTCTCTGACGTTACATGTATCTGCGACTCCATTTCGCTCAAGTCACGTACACAGATCAAACGAAGAGCAAAAGTAAAATTCCGTTAAAAAATAAACCACTTCTATATTTCATATCCAAATCTACTTTTATTGCCACTAAATCTACCAAGGGGCTCAAAATGACTTGTTTGATATTTCTTATAATCGTTATTCATCTTCAGTACATTTTTTTTCTAAAATTTTATATGACTTTTCCTAAAATATGCAAATAAGTAATTTTCTAATACAGTTTTCTTTTTTTTTGTCTCTTTGATGTAAGATTTTATGCAGTATATCTTCATATACCGAGATGAGTCATTTTGACCCTCACGAATCGTAGATTAAAAGCGTAATTATTTTGAAGATTATTGTTATTAAATTATTATTGTTATCATTATCAGTTTATTATTCAATTTTCACTCATAAAAGATATATGTCAATCGCCGGTAGTTCTACTGTTAATCTATATTTTATTCTGCTTTCCCTCAATTCAATCGAGACTAAATATTTCACGTGCCTTTTCGTCGCTGTGCCTGTCGATCTCTCTTGAAAAGGATGGAATGATCAAGCCATAATCTAAGCACCGCATATACACGCATCGTATTCATACCGACTCGTACCGCAATATGTATGTACATACGCACGCTGGCTTGCAGTTGTAAATAATTGCTGTGATACTAGTGAACGTAACGCTTGCAGCCAACACGAAATGCCATGGAGAAATTCTGTGTAACGAAGGAAACGCCGGTAACCTCGACAGGGAGATTATCGCGCAGAAATGGCAAAGCTCGCGTTACACCACGGGGAGCAATGGGAAGACTCGTACAATTGGGAAACCGACGATAACGCTCGCGGTGCCTCGATCGTTTCGCCAACACACCGGCTGAACATTCTCTAAGGCGAGGCAAGTGTGACCGCCACTTCTTACTCGTCGCCACGACCACAAAATCCACTAACTGTCACCGTCATTGTTATACAGAAAATCTTTATGCTCGTGCAAACATTCGACGAAGAAAAGACTGCGGACGTTTAATTACAGAATTGCTCCACGACTATAAAGTTCTGCATTTCTGTTCTTAAATCTTCTATCTTAGGAATTCAATGTTATCGTTATCTACTGATTAAAATGTCACAAATTTTTTATCTATTAAAGTAGAAGCAATTGAATACAAAATTTAAAACACAATCTGTAATACCAACGGGTTGAAATTTGAAATAAAATGCACTGGAAGACTAGGAGTCTTATTTAGTTTATTTCATTGTACGATGGGTTCTAAGATTTATAAGCGCGCTCCATTAGACACCTTGACATATTCTCGTTTCTTTTTCTCTGTCTCTCTCTCTCTCTCAACAGTGAAAAAATTAATTTCTCGCTGGAGAAAAGTGATGATGCACTTACGAGTCGTGTCGCAAACCGATTCCTAGCTCTTACCCAGCCGACCGAGAATTCAATCGAGGATCCAGACTTCCGGAACACCGGGTATCACCTCTTTTTTTCAGGAATACGGTGGAAAGACGGCGAACGGGTAGTCGACTGGTGTCTATCTTAAATGAAACATTAACCTCCGACTCCGGCGAGGAATTGTACTCTTCGCTTTGTACTCCGCCCGAACTTGGACGGTCGTATACGTATATCCATTTTTCTGCCCCTCGCAGACATTGATGCTTTCTATTTCTGTGCCGTGCCATGCTTCTCAGCTACTCATATTTCCTCGTCGACGGAAAGTCGAAATTAGATCGCGACGACGACGACGCGACGCTACCGTGACGGTTAATGTCATTTCTATTGGCTCGCGAAAGCTTCGACATTTTCATCTCCTCCAACTTCGCGGAAAAAATTGCGCGGATCGTGCGAAGGTAGTGTCATCGCTGATCGGAGTCGTCGAGTCAATTTTTAAGGTCTGGCGTTGAAAGAATTAAGTCATTTTTACGAGGAGGAATTTGATCCTTTTCGCCTCAACAGTGATTAATTCAATACAACGTAATTTTATTAATGAAATAACCAAATTGGAATCCGTATAGGAAAAGTAGCACCAATTCAGTCAAAAATATATTCCACAATTATTTTTAGGCTATATTAGCATCGCTCACCGTAGAAGCTGATTATAAACTTCAATTTAAATATGACATTTCTCTAATGCACAACTCTGTGAAATTTTCGAATAAAAAACTTACTTTCAATATGAGAGTAAATAATTTTAATTTCGTAGAAAAATATTGCAAAATTGCTAATTGCCATTCTGGGTTGATATATTGGAATGGAAACTGTTACTCATATATGTACAAGTCGTTTAGTAACATTACGCCACGTTCGGCAACTTTTCGTCGCTCTATGCAGCTATAGCTACAGCAGGGTGGAACTATCATCGTCCAACCCTTCGTCGCCTTGTAACACGAACACGATTTGTTATCGGGGGTAAATCGAGATTATTGGCCGACCGAGGCGCGCTAATATTCTGTCGGCAAACGCGCAGTTGAAACTTCCACTTTCGGATGTCATTTTTCAATCCGACACTCGCCGCCGGGGACGAGATCTGGATTCATTACTTATCCCGGCCCCAAACCCCGGCGTGCCGCAGCCCGTTGCTGCTCGGTTATTACGAAACTTACGGTGTCTTGGAATAGTAATTAAGGCGCCTTCTCGTTCCCATTCTTTCTCCGAACGACGCTGTACTAATTAATCTGCGTACGAGAGAATCCCAGGACCGAGAAACGAGGGAAGAGGCGGGGGCGGGTGGGGTTTAGGGAGCGGCGAAGTTGAAACTGCTTTAACAAGGAAATATTTCAACTCTTAAAATCGTCGCCCTGGCAATTACCATCAAAGCACACGGGGGCTGATCCAGATTCCTCCGTTCCTACCGGACGTACGCCCAAGCGTTACGGTACAAAGGAATCAATTTTACTTCTGCTCTTCAGGGAAAAAAGAGAACAATGCGATTCCGTTTTGGGGTAGGATTACCTCGATGAAAATAAAATCAATTCCGAAATCCGATACGAAGAAACGATACCCCGTTCGAAAACTGCGAGCATTCGTAAAACCCGGAGCAAACTAAAAAAACGTGTACACGAATAAATAAAGGTACGCGAATCTGTCGCTCGTATCGACGCGCTCGGAAGATCGATCGCGCCGCGTTGGTATAAAAGGGATCGACGGCGAAAGGGACAACGGGTTTCGTTGTAAAATTCGTAGCGCATTATTCAATAGCAAGAGGTCGGGTAGAAGTAGAAGTCGAGTAGAGCCGTCACAATATAACGCGCTGTATCCACAGCTATACACGGTGTTCTGCGAAAGCCGGGATCTGGCAGCTGCAGTTTCAACTGTACCGCCGTTGATACCGGTTCGATTTCTGTCCCGTTTCATGCTTTCGTGCCGCATGTATTATACACCATACGCCACGAGAGACAGAGAGAGAGAGAGAGAGAAAGGGAGAGCCAGAGGGCTGTGCATGGTTACTGGTAGATAGCGGGTCCGGTGGTCAACGGTGAAAGCGAGGGACGAAGAGAGGTAGAAGGATACGCGATCATACGTACGTACATACGTTTACACAATTGTACGGCAGCCATCTGCATTCTGTGAGCCACATACCTAACGCCGACCGAGCTAACCGCCGTGGCGCGCCGGCCGAAACACATTTCTCTATGGAAAGCACGAATGATGTGCCCGGGCCCCGGTATTCAAACCTATCTTTCGTACCCTATTCTCCCCTTTCATCGAGTGCCACCGAAATTTGGATAGCGGTCACCGCGCGGAACACCTTTTCCTCCCTTTCGTAATTCATTCAAAAGTGAATGCGAGAAAGGTTTGTCGATACCACAGATGGCTAACGATTCATACCAACGTGTATTCGTTCTAAACTCTAAACCGATCTGTTCGACAGACCGAAAGATTTCTATCTCGTCTTATCTGTTATGACGTACGTGTCCACGTTGTATATTGAATGCCGCGTTAATTTCAAGTTATTTTCGTTTATCTGATGTTTAATTCAAGAGTAGTAACGTTGAATCGTGTAAAATAAGATTGTATCACGATTTTACATGTTAGCCATGGATTTGAATGTCCCTTCTTCAACCCACAATTTTATCCCTTTAGTCAGATCAGTCTTTGACCTTCTTCAGTTTTTATTTGTAACTAGATTGCGAATTTTATGCATTTATAACAAAACTGCACGCAATGTATGAGAATATAGAACATATCAAAAACAGAGTCCACATTGGACCAGATTCATTTTTAAGTGATAACTGAAACTGTTATTTGAAACACATTTTTTAATCTGGTATCAGAAATATTTTATTTTGTATAAAATTCCGCAATCTACTCATGACCATTCCCACTCCTGTAAAATTAAATTTTGGTTGATAACCAAAGTAAGAATTGGTGCGAGAATTAAGTATGAATATGGGCGTTAAAGAATCAAGACAAGATACTTTGTTTTATTCGACGTTGTCGCTAGGACGACTGCAGAGAGAGTGGCTCTCAGATAAAACATTTTAGTCCTAGGAACTCCCATCTTTAGTGTTACTTCACACTGTTTTATGGTTCCTCGAGCTGTTTTATCCTTAAGAAGCCTGCATCGATGGGATGTAGTTGTCCCCATTAAACTTTCTCTATTTTCTAATTTTCTTACACTTCTTCACTTTCCCGGTATCCCCGAGTTTTCCTTATACATCCGAAATTGAACCAGAATCAGAAAACTTTCTGCGGTTTGTAAGCTTCTATCGGTATAGAAATAAAGTTTACTTAAATGTAACTTATTGTTAGAATCGCTGTACTTATTCCACTCTTTGGTCTTGTGCAATCCAATATAATCATGAAGTATTAGTCCAGTTACATGCTTTTGTTTCCGAATAAAAATACTTAGGTCTT